TTAACGGATTATCAACCTTTTGCAGGTTATTTAAAGTCAGAAAATATTTTTAGATTAGAAGGATTTTTTTAGAGATAATAATTATTTACCGATAAAGGTCCTACTAATTGACCCATAGCTGGAGTGGGGGCGGGGAACAGGTGGGTTCATACCTTTTCCAAATGGTATTTGCGCGTAAGTGAATTTAACGAACCCGACAAGAATTGGAACTCTGCTCTCTGATTTCGAATTCCAAGACGTTATCCATTACATCATCTGCACACCCTAGCTTACGTACCTGGCATTCCCAAGCAGTCACTCATCTAGATGACCAGGCTTAACGTTGTTTAACTTTCCACGTGATATTGCCACAAGCCTTGAGAGATAGATGAACATGAATGGAAGAACATATACGTTAAAGACGTATACCTGATAATTGTTTTACTTATTTATTTTAATGGAAATCTCTAGGAATAAATAACGGTATGTAACTTCTGGTTAACTGTTCTTCTATCTGAGCACAAAGCATCGACAAATCTGTTTTCTAATGCTACCAATAAGCGAAAGAGAGATCCAGAATGCCAAGCAAAGACATTAACTATTTAATCCGTAAAATTGATGACGTGGCCAGTCCTCCAACATAGAAAACGCTCAAATCGATTTTAAGTGAAATTAATATCATTATCTCTGAAGAGCAAAAGGCATGTAAAAAAATGTTTTTGTGGTTGCAAAGATCAATTGCTGACCAACAAAATGTTACTAGAAAACTGACGTTCGTAAAGTAAAAATCTAAACAATGCATGGATAGACTATAAAAAAAAGAAGAGACTTTGACCTTTGTGCCCGCAAAAGAAAAAAAAACAGTGTCAAAAGAACGGGTTTTCCTTGATACCGGTATTATTTTAACTACCTTTATTGTTTTAAAAACGATGATTAGAATCGTAATGAAACCTAAATATATGAAAGTAAGTTTATATTTTTTGTTCTTGAGAATTTACAATTTTAACACTTTATTTATTAGATTGTTTATTTACAAGAAGAATTTTATATTTACAACATTTTAAAAACTAATACAATTAAAATTAATACAATGCAATATTTATCATTTATCAATTTATTAAAACAAATATGAAAACAATTTTTTTATTCAGAAATTTATAAACATTTACTAAATTGTTAAAATATGTGAACCAAGTATAAGGAACTCTTTACTTGCCATTTTATAAAATTCGAATCAGTTGGAAATTAGCCGTTGTTTTGCCAACCATTTCAATAAATAATATAATAAATATTTTGAATAAACAATTTAATAAATAAAGTCTTTATCATTTTGTTGTCAATTTTCAAGAACAAAGAAAATGTATAAATTCACTTTCATATGTTTAGTTTTTATCATAATTCTAATCATCGTTTTTAAAACAATAAATATTGTTGAGGAGTAAAGGTAGTTAAAAAAAATAACGGTGTCAAGGGAAAAATTGTCCTTTTGATACACGCTTTTATTTTGTTTGTTTTTTTTTTCTTGAAAGTTCAAGTTTCCCAAAAAAAGGCTTTCGAGATCATCTCGTATGATTGGAACATAAAGTCGTCAGAATTAATGAACATTTCTTTCAGTCTTATTAATCTTCTTAAAGTCAATATGAAAAAAAAAAAAACTACTTTAATCCACAATCACATTAATGATAAATTTAGACGTGTTAACTTACAGATCAACAATTTCAATGAAATTCTCTTTCACTTCTGTTGTAGTACTTTTCCCAAACGAACTGAATAAAACAGGTTACAACAGTCACCAATATATTTAATAAGTTTATTGATCACATGTTCTACGTGAAAGATTTGAAATTGTTTGCCAAAAATGATAATGAATTACAAGATGTGATTGTAAAGAAATGTAATGATGATATCCCTATGGAGCCGTGTTTAAACAAATGTCTAAAGACAACTTTTAAAAAAATGGAAAAAACAATGGCGATAGAAGTTGATAATGAAACTGTAATTCGGAGACAGGATCAGAAAGTATTGTACAAACATCTTCGAATCAATGAAGGACTAGAGATTCAACATCCAAAAAGAAAAACCAAAAAAGAAATTGTTTTAGACAAAAGCGACAAAATGCGCTATAGACACAAAATAATGAAAGTTATTAAGTCCTTAATCCTACCTAAATGTTAGGAATGTTACATATTCTTTTAAGGCGACGAATAGGAATACTGAATAGATGTGGATAATAGAATGAATAGAAGACTTTGATGGGCATTATAACGTTCCCTAGCAATGGATATCGGTGCGAAAAGTGCAATAAGCAAGCCGGGTTCGAATTCTGGGTTAGTCTGTTGCGTTCACTTTCGTACAAATGCGCTTGGGAATGGCATGAATATGTCTCTTCTCCCCCAGGTATAGGATAAATAGAAAGGCAGACTGGTTTCCCTAGACTTGGATTGTAAACAATCTAAGAGAATAATAATAATAATTCACATTACTTACATTATTTACATTTACTGTTATCCTCATCGCCATATTCACAGCGTTTCGGTCGTTATACGCTCCGGCCTTCTTCAAGTGATTGGAATATCAAACCGAACGCTTTAGTTCGTCCACCGGGATAGATTATTCTAGTTTCGCGTGCCATGCCTCTTCCCCGGATGTCTCAGTTATTTCCCTTTAACTCAACTCTCCAAGTTTGGTTCACCACTGCTATTGGCCTGGTATTGAATTGACAACTTTTGGGGTCTAGTCACTGGATGTAACCAACGTCTTTATCCACAGGGCATGTGTCCTCGAGGACACATGGCCTAGTGGATGATGATAACAGTCCGAATGATGTAAATAATGTAAGTAATCATAATACCTCATCTCAGAAATATAGACAAATAATTCACACACACACACACACACACATACATACATATATATATATATACATCAGTATCGCAAATTAAATGCTGGTCGTAATAAAACAGTGGCACAATAGCATAGTTGTGTTAACAGTGAGAAGAAAAAGTATATCTATTAAAAGCATAGCGTTAGTTAAACATTCTTTTTTTCATCACCCTTAGCATAACTATAGATTTGTGCTAACGGTGAGGGAATACACACGCGTGCACACACACACACACACATACATACATACATACATACATATATATATATATATATATATATATATATATATATATATATATATATATATATATATTTAAATGATCAGTGGAAGATGTCATGGAGCCATTTCTGTCTCTGGTTGGGACCCGGAAGAAATGTGCATGCAAATCAAAGGAAATAGTAATAATGTCAATGCAGTTCAGTTTGATACGTCATGAAGAAAGCACATTAATAACAGTTGATGCGATTGACTGTAAAATTTAGACATTTCAAAAGTAAATTCTACCGAAAGAATATAAGATTTCCAAAACAACAAATAAATTTTGGGCTTGAAATGTTAGACAACGGAAACAAAACTGAGTTGCTCGATTTTTCGAGATGAAGCCTTTCCATTATTTATGTTTTAATTTTGACATTTTTGCTTGGTGATGCGAACAAGTCTTCTTTTTTTTACGATTGTAAAATAAATAGAACTGATCAGAAACAAAGAAGTCGCTTGCCACGAATTTAGAACTTGAAACGCGAAACTTGTGGAGTCTATCTGAGATGTAATGCGAGTTCGAATTTTGTTAGAGGCTAAATACATTATTTCTGAGACTTGTTATTGACACCAACGATCGCAGAACGAAGAAAGAAAGTTTCTGAGAGTTGCGTTAAAATGCAACAGTAATATCAGTCATCCTATATGGCAGTGAATGCTAGACAATCTTCTCAAAGATGAAGAAGAGACTTGAAGCACCAGAAATGTGGCTCTACAGAAAGTTGCTGAGGATACCATGGACTGAACATGTGAGAAACGACAGAGTTCTAGAGAAAATGGTAACAAAAAGGAAACATGTGCTTAACATCGGGAAGATACAGCTGAAATTTCTACGGTACATAATGAGGAAAAAAGGCTTGGACAGTTTGACACTCACAGGACAGATTGAAGGTAAGAAGGCCAGCGGAAAACAACGCATAATCTACTTAGGGAGTTTGAGTAAATGGATGGTGGAACAGTGTTTAGGAGAGATAACAAACAGACAAAATTTATTAAGAGCTACAACGGACTGGAAATTCTGGAGAGCCATGATCGCCTACGTCCTGAAGTGACACGGTACATCGAAGAATAAGAATAAGATGAAAGATAAACTATTAGAAAATGAATAAAGAATCAAGCTGCATGCAATAAAATTCTTCTTTAGGGACTGATAAAAAAATATAAACAAATAGAAATTAGTTTGTTTTAGTTTTCTTTTCAGAAATGTATTTACAAAAATGATCTCTTGTGAGATACAAAGAATAGAAGCTAAAAAAGTTGAGTGTTTTGTTAAATAACCTAAAAATGAACCCCCATATTGAGATAAAAAAACATCTATTCAAAACGTTTCCAAAAAAAAAAAAAAAAAAAAAAAATTTAAAAATAAATAAATAAATAATAAAAAAAAAAAACTCACTTTGGTTTTGTTGCGATGATTAGTAGGTTAATGTAACATGTCTTTCAGGTAAAAAAAAAACAAAACAAGCCAAAAGATGTTCCACCTTTTCAACGTCTTTTTTTTATCACTTGACCCTGTTTCGACACTCCAATGGGCACTGGTTACCCTTTTTCTTTCTTGTTATAAACTAAAATTTGCAGCCTTCTTGTAGGTGTGATCGAATGAAAGAGTATTTAAAAATAGGAAAAGAGTTGACGGGTAAAATAGACGTTAATGCGTTGAGTCAGTTAATTTTGGAGAGAAAGAGAACAGCAAGTGGCGATGAAAAATGGTGTAGAGCGTGTCTGTGTATATATATTATATTCTGAAATGTGTATTTGTATAATAATTACAAACGGACATTTTCTTGTGAAGGTCCAGCAGTTTTCATTGTCAATGTGAGGATAGGTCGAAGGTATATATTAAAAATAATCTATGCATAAAGGAAGAGGGTAAATGTTAGTATAGAGAAGAATAAGGAAGAAAGAGAGAAACAAGTTTATGGCGAGGTATTATCCGAATGGGAAAAGAGAAATGCGCAAAAGAGACAGTATGTAAATTGGAAGAGAGAGAAAGAGTAAAAGGTAATATAAAAAAATCGAGAAATGTAGAAAGAAAGAAAGGGATGAAAAGAGAGGCTGGGGAGGGATAAAGAGAGAGGGAAAGAGAACAGAGAGAACTGGGAGAGATAAAGAGAGACGGATGAGTAATTAATGATAGTTTTCTTAGCCAATAAGTCAAGAAAGGAATGTAACAATGAGCAACTAAAGAAAGAAAGAAAGAAAGAAAGAAAGAAAGAAAGAAAGAAAGAGACGGTGGAATTGGAGAAGAACCTTGAAGAGAGAAATAAATAAATTGAAGACAAAAAGAGACTAAGAGAGAGTGAGAGGAGGAGGGGGAGAGAAAGGGAGAGAGAGAAGGCGAGCGATAGTGCAGAAGTACAAAAAAGTGAAAAAGACCGCGAAATGAAGTGAAAGAAAGAAATTGAAGAAAGACAGAAATTTGGAAAGAAAAAAGAGAGAGAAGTGATTTGTAGAAAAAAAAAAGAAAGAGAAAAAAGAAAGTAAATCACGAAAAGAAAAAACCTTGAAGAGAGAAAGATAGAAATTAATTGATAAAGACAGAAAGAATTGGATACAAGAGACACGAGAAAAAGAAAAGAAAAAGAAGCTAAATAGATGAACTAAATAATAAAAAACAAACCCTGCAGACTAATAAGAAACAATGGGCCCAAAATAAGAACAATTAAGAAAAAAACGAATAAATGAAGATAAAAAAATAAAAAAATTGTCCTGATTCGTGGCTAAGATAATTAACGTTATGGATGTGCAAATAGTGGAATTGGAATTGTGAGTTGGAATTCGGCTCGAGCCTGTTTTCCTCACTTCGCACTAATGCCCTCGGAAAAGGCATGAATACATTCCCTCTGGCTGTGGATAAACAGCAAAGTAACACTGGACTCTTTGGTTTTGGTAAAACAACTAATCTAGAAACACCACACTGAATTCAAAACCAGCAAGGAAAGGGATGAGCTCTGTCAGACTATCTTACCCTAGACACACCTACGGAACTACTGTCGCTATAAACGCAGTACATGTGGTCACCCTATGACCCTTACGGGACATGTGATCATGATAACTGACATATATCCCATCTCTGTTAGAAGTCAGAAATTCAAGCACAACTAAAAGGCATATATACTAGTTTTCTAGATAGGCAAATCAGAAATTCTTTAAAAGGTTTGGCGCAACAGATCTTCCTAATTCATAAGATCTTATGTTGTGCAAATAGTAAATATCAGATATCGATAGAAACTGAACATTAGAAAACTATAGTCAAAACAAAAGAACAAACTCGTTTTCTCAAATATACTAATATTATCGGAATACTAGTTTAGCTATGCCATTATTCTTAACAGCATAATTGAAGACCTTACTTTTTTTAAATCGATCTCACCCCAAGCAAGGCAGTAAAGCCACTAAGACACAAGTGGAAAAATTAGAAAACCGAAACATTACAAGGACGGCGAGAACAAAAGAAGTGCAATCAGGACAGTCGATAGCGATTGATATTGCATTTAAATTTTTGAAGATTAAAATTGTCTGGAAAGCGTGGAACCGGAAGAGAGTTCCACAAGTGAGAAGTGCGAGAAAAGAAACTGTTAGTATAGAACTTACAGTTAAGTGATTGTAGAAAAGTGACTGGGGCTAGAAAATCAATTAAGGCCTTTTCTGAGGCATTTCGAGATCATAAAAGAATATTTTTAGCCAAACTTTACAATTTAACGGTAATCACACAATGATAAATGTCACCTTAGAAGCACCATAACCCATTAGGCGTATCGGTTCACCACCTGTCCTGCAGCTATAAGATGTGTCTGGGACAAGATAGCCCGACAAAGTTCATCCAGGCTGGGTTTGAATTCAAAGTATTTTTTCAGTTTTCGTTTTTAACCCATAGTTGGGAGGTGATGACAAGAGATGAATTTATACTTTTCCTCAGGGTATTTTTGCGAAAGTGAATGTAATGAACTCGGCCTGAATTCGAAACGACCACGTCGGTTTCTCTTCCCGAATCGCTAACCGTTACAATGAGAAATGTGGAAATTCTACACTTTTCAAACATGGTGAAAACTAGGAACAATATGTTAGGTTAGGTAGAATCTCATATATATATATATATATATATATATATATATATATATATATATATATATATATATATATGAAGAAATATACTCTTAAGGTGTGCTATATTTATGGGATAAAGTGCTCAATATCAGAGATAGAGCGCGTGTAAATATATAAGTGAACATTGAAATCAACACTTAGAGGCGACAGACTGTTTCATGCTAGACGCAATCGTCATATATATATATATATATATATATATAATAAAAAGGCTTAAACACTAGTACTCCATGGTCATGATTTATTACATTGGAATTGTGATCACGATCCAATTAATCAGACCTACAAATTCAAAAAGAAATCAGAAGAAATAACTCGAGGAGTAAAAAATAAAATTTAGTGAGAGTGTATGTATGAGAGTGGGGACGAATGCGAGACTGTTACCCCTCCCTATAGTTTTCATTTACTCTCGAGCGAGACCAGCAAAACTCCTTGTAACACTGAAGACAAAGATTATGGCAGCATTCACCAACTTAAACAAAGAGACCATACAGAAGGAGATTCCGAAGTCGCCTGGAGGCCGTGGTTGAAACCAATGGCGATTTTTCTGAATAAATTTTCTCTTTAGCATTTTTGTGTAATTTTGGTAAATACATCTATTAAAATGAGATGTCTGTAATTTTCATTTTTTTTTTTTTTTTTTTTTTTAAATGTAATTTAGGCGACAATTTATCCATCTCACCCTGTATTTCGGATCATGATTCTTGGTTTCCAGCACATATTTGAATATAAATCGTCCAATGTCCGAATAATTTTGATTTTCATATGACATTATCAAAGAGGTTTTTTTTGTCCTATACAGGTTAAATCATTTTCAAATATCGGCTCTTCACTTCTTCACAGGACAATTCGCGTTTCGCATTATTGTTTTAACCAGGTAAAAGTTTGCTGCCTACACACACAAACACACACACACACTGTATATATATATATATATATATATATATATATATATATATATATAGTAATGCCTCTTAAATATTTGCTAAATATATGCTAGATATAAATCCAAAAAAGAGCTCAATGTAAGAACATAGCAAATGATGATGATTATGATGATGATGATGATGATGATGATGATGATGATGAAAACGGAAACTTTAGAAACCCTTAGTAATATTTTATTTCGCAAGACCGATTCCTCGGTCTTGCCTCATCAAACCAAATGGTTATAAACCGTTTCAAACCGTTTGGTCTGATGAGACGAGACCGATTCCTTTTTTGCTTTTTGCGAAATAAAATATTACTATGGGTTTCTAAAGTCTCCGTTTTCATCATCATTATATATATATATATATATATATATATATATTAATGTTAAGATTTTTAAAATGGATTTTTTTTATTAATCCGACAGATGTTTATAACTTAAACGTTATTTTTAGTGGGTACACGGATTTGAGTAGCCAATCCGTTTATTTATTAAACAATATATTTATTTATTCTCATCTCCTAGTCTGAATGTTCGAGAAATTTTATTAAATAAAGATTTGCGCTCTTTAATAACAAAATAAATAAATATACTTTTTAATAAACGGAATGTCTACTCAAATATGGGTATCCACTAAAAATAACGTTTAAGTGATAAAAATATAGAGATTTTATCGTGTAACTTTTAGTTATAAACAAAAATAAGCGGAGGAAAATTTCTTAAATTGAAAATTCGGAATGTTAACGATTTTTTGTTCACTTTACTTCTTTAAATACAAGTTGAATTTATAAATACAACTTGAAAAAGAAAATCCCTACATTTACTTTGATAAAGTGTCTCAGGAGACGAAAACGCAATGGAAAAGAAAAGTTTTCTTTTTGTCTTTTATTTATATTGTCTTGACAGATATATTTTATTTATATCAGAATTTTCTCTCTCTCTCTCTCTCTCTCTCTCTCTCTCAGCCACTTACTCACTCACACACATGCACACACACACATCTATCTATCTATCTATAAAATTCTGTGACATTCATTCATCCGTCAGTCACACCCTCTAAAATAGCCATGTATTGACCGATTGAAACCAAATGTTGGGGAGAAGTGCAAACAGGCAAGTGAATACAAAGTGAGTAGCTTAGTACAATAAATTTTCATTCATTCTTTTGGAAAAATTAAAAGTTTTATTATTTAACATACAAAATATTCCCACTATTTTAAAAAACTATTTAATGATTAAAATAACAAATATTTATTTACTAAAAGATGCAATATATATATATATATATATATATATATATATATATATATATATATATGCATATATCTTTTCTTTAAGTTATACAAGAATCCAGTTTCCAGTTTACCCTGGATTTGCGAGAACTATAAAAAATTACAAGGCCAAACGCTTCAAAACGTTTTTAAAAGTCGGAATTTTGGCTCCAGTTGTATGTTGCATGCTGAAGTATAAGAAATCCTAAGAATTTATTCTTCTCTGTTAAAAAGAAAGAAATTTTCTTAAAAAAAAATATTGTTTAGCATGACGTCATATAAAATTAAATTAAAGAAATTATTAAAACGTGAATTAGGTTTTTGTCAAAGTATTTTTCCAAACAAATCAGTTTATTCAAATTTCATCGATTGGTTTGAGAAACTGAACGAAACGTAGAGTTTGTAAATCACGACTAAAAATGTCAGCGATAACTTTCAACTTTTCAACGCGTCAACGTGTTACAAACAAATTCTAGTAGATATATATATATTTCGTAATTATTTTTGTATTTCATCCGGGGGAATATATGATGCATCATATGTATGCATTACGTTTTGCGAAAAAGA